GTGTGTGTGTGTGTGTGTGTGTGTGTGTGTGTGTGTGTGTGTGTGTGAAGCAGGCTTCCTGCAATTGAGTATTATCTTCTCTATCCCATTCACTGGTTTGTTTGTTTGTTTGTTTTTGGTCTGCTTTCTTTTTATTTCTTTATTTTTCAAAGCACAGAAACTTTTTATTCTTTTATTTTCAGTTCCAAATTCATTCTCATTCTCTCTCTCTCTCTCTCTCTCTCTCTCTCTCTCTCTCTCTCTCTCTCCCTCCCTCCCTCCCTCCCTCTCTCCCTCCCTCCCTCTCTTCCTCCTTCCCCTCCTCCCTCCCTCCCTCCCTCTCCCTCCCCTCCCAGATGAGAAGTCAAGAAAAAACCAGAACCTATTACAGATATGTATAGTAATGGAAAACAAATTTCTACATTAGCCATTTAGGAAGGAAGGAAAGCAGGCTGGGAGAATGACCCAGAGAGGAGATAATGCCATGGCTGCACCAACATCAGATGGGCACTTGGCAAAGACATGCAAGGCTGGATATACCCAAGTCTGGTTGCACTGAAGGGTCTCTGACAAGCCTAGGGAGGGCATGCTGATCATACAGGCAGGGTATGCAAGAAGGTAATAAATGATGACCACCCAGAGGGAGGTCAGGAACTGGCCTGGAGAGCTCACTTCTGTTTCGACATCCAAACCTCTGGTTTCATTAGGATCAGTGGGTATTTCAGGCCAAATAGGTCAATGGCACTCCCAGAGGGAAGTAACTTGCCCTGATAGTCATTCTTTCTAGACCCCTTGTTTCCCTTTGGTGAAACCTGAGCCCCCTTCCTGCTCCCGGGAAACCACACCTCTGGGAGAGTATTCCTAAGCTCTCCTTTCATTTCATCTTGCTTTCCAATTGTCTGTGTAATTTATCTCAAAGAATGGGCTATTTTTAGGTTGCTTGCCATTTCTATTTTTGACAAAAAACCAAACATTTAAAGCTCTTTTTCATCTGGTTTAATTCATTGAAACTGAGCAAAGATTTATTAAGCCAGTCTGGGGATGCAAAGGTGACCCAAACATAGCATCTGTCTTAGAATTGTATGTCTCCTACATAGATACAGAAAAGCCTCATACAAGGTAGGGAATGATAGGGCAAACTTTAAAGAAAGGACTTAGGGAAAGTTTGAGGGAGAGATGAGGGGCCTGGGGAGGTGAAGAGGGAACACCTGAACTGAGCCTCGGAGGATGAGGCTTTCAACATGGGGTAGTGGATAGAGCCATAAACTTGGGGTTAGGAAGAATTTGAATCCAGCATCAGCAACTTACTAGCTGTGTGACCCTGTACAAGCCACTCCACTGCCCCTGGCCTCAGTTTCCCTATCTGTAAAATGAGAGGGTTGGACGTGGTAGTCTGTACAGGTCCCTTCTAGCTCTAAATGATGATGATGATGATGATGATGATGATGATAACTAACATTTATATGAACCTTTAAAGTTTTCAGAACACTTTATAAATATATCTCATTTAATCCTCACAATAGCCCTGGGACATAGGTGCTCTTATGATCCCTATTTTATAGTTGAGGAAATAGGCAAACAGAGGTGAGGTGACATTCCCAGGGTCACACAGCTAGTGTCTGAGACTGGATTTGAATTCTGGTCTTCCTGACTCCAGGCCCAGGGCTGTATCCATTGTACCACCTAGGTGCTTATATCAGCCTCAGTAGTTATTAAGGTCAGATAAAGAATAAAACCCTTTTCTTTTCCTATCTTTGCTTTCTTTTTTTTTTTTTTTTTGGTAAAAGAGGGGATGGGGAGAAGGGAAGTCCTAGGAAGTAGAATGTGGAATTTACTTGGAAAAAAAAAAGAAAATCCAGCAAGTGTTCCTACGTCTTGGGCAGGGGCAGGGGCACATTATTTGTGACTTCTTCCTCAGCATGCCCTGATATCTTCTGAAAAAAATCACTGACATGTGGAACTTTTAGAATACTTCATGATATGAGGTTTTGAAGGTTCAGAAGAAACCTTCATATAATTATAAGCTTAAGTATCAAGGTATTTTCATGAGAGAGCATAGCAAGTAGAGTATACGAACTGTAATCAAGAAGACCAAGGGGTATGCTGGTAAATGTTTAACAACCAGCTCTCCAGGAAAATATGTCCCTATGACTCACTTTTAAGTTTGATCTGCTTTATGAACATTTTATCCATCACTTTCTTAAGCCTATACAATCAACAAAATGGTAAATCAAGTCCTGATTTGCGGCATTTGCCATTTCTGAGATTTAAATGCTCACACTAGAAATTTAACAATCAGCTCAGCCAGTATGAGCTGTCTCCAGCCTATCCCTGGGAATACCTCAGTTCCAATCCTGGTTTAGGTACTTAATTTAGGTATGTGATCCTGGAAAGTCATTTAGTTTTTATGTGCCTCAGTTTCCTCATCTGTAAAATGAGGGAGTGAACCTTGCTGGCTTCTAAGGCCCCTTGAAGTTCTAACTCTATGATCCTGTTTCCATTTTCCCAGATTTGACTCTCCATTAGAATAAATTTGACTCTTCTGTGAATTACACACCATACCTTTTTTCCCCTTTATTGGGGTAGTTCAATTTAGTAAACCTTTATTAAACATCTATAATGCCTACAGGACTGTGCTGCAGATATAAAATTTTAAAAAAATGCCTGCTGTCAAAGAGCTTACATTCTACTGGGATGGGATGGATACAACAGGAACACAAGTAGGTAAATGTGAAATAGTTGCAAGAAAGAGAGATTCTTGTAACAGGGCTGGGAGGAAGGAGGAAGCTCAGGAAAGGACAAGATAAAGAGGCATATGTTTTATCCTGATTCCGAGCTAGCCTTAGTTTCTTATTGTTTTCTTTCTCATAGAAGCTTTTTGAGAATGGCCTAGTTATATACTGAGAATGTCCCAGCACAATGCTAGGCACAAGCACACAGAAGTGTTTAATAAATGCTTGTTTCCTTCCTAGAGGTGAGCCAGAGATCAGCAGTTCGGTGTCATAATAGATAGGAGACGAGCTTCAGAGTCAAAGAAGACGTGGGTTCAAATCTTGCCTCAGACACTTGGTAGCTGTATGACCCTAGACAAGTTCCTTCACCTATCTCAGACTCAGTTTCCTTATCTGTAAAAAGGGAACCATAGCGGCACCTACATCACAGGGTTATGGTGGACAAATGAAGTAATACTTTTACTTACAAGTAATACTTATAAACCACTTTGCACACTCGAAGGTACTATGTCAGTGTTAGCTATTATGACTAGTTATAATATCCTGCGAGAGGACAGCAGACCAGCTTCTGCCACAATTTTCTGGTATTTTCTTAACCATCGAGCCAGTGATTGAACATTATGCAGATACTCATTAGAACTTGATTTGGGAGTTTTAGGAGCTGCAGCTGAATCTTCGTTTCCTAAGTTCCAAAAAGAAGTGCTAAGTAAATGTTGTGGAACTGAATTAGAAGTTATTTTTAGTCTGCTGGGGGATTTTTACAGTCCCTTTGTGATGCAGGCGTCCTCAGCATTGGAGCAACCAATCGATGAACATTTATTAAGCACTTACCTTGTGGGGGCACTGCCCTAAAAACTGGGAGAGCTGACATTGGTGGCCAACCAGGAAGAGATCATATCCTAAGAATGGGGGTGAGGGCAGTACTTCTCCTCCTAGACTTTTAAGAAATCAACTCTTCATGGTAATCTTCTATTGTGATAGGCGCAGCAGTCAACTGATTATTCCATTCTCTATCCCGAAGTGCATTTGCAGGTGTTTCATACAATCAAGATTTTGAGCTAGAAGGGACCCTACCATATCATTGAACTTACTAGCTGCATGAACATGGGCAAGTAACTGAACCCCCCTGAGCCTCAGTCTTCTCATCTGTAAGATGGACATAATAAGACTTGTAGACACTTAGCTATGTGACCCTAGGCAAATCACTTTACTCTCAGCCTCATTTTACTCATCTATAAAATAGGGTTAATAATAGCACCTACTTTATCTCAAAGGTTGTGGTGATATTCAAAGGAGATAAGCTCTTTGAAAACTTTAAAACATTATAAAATGATAGCTATGAATATTGGGATCTCATGATGATAGAATTAGGATTGGAAGGGACCTCAGAGACATTCTAATCCCCTCATTTTATAGGGAGGAACAAGTTCAGAGAAGGAAGGGACTTGCCCAGGGTCACGCTGATAGGCAGTAACTGAGCTGAGATTCAAACCTACGTCTTCTGACTCCAGATCATCCTCGGTCTTCCTGTTGTCATGTTGTTGTCGTTGTGAACATCACCCTTTCGTGTCCTTTCATATAGAGGGACCCAAGGTCTGAAAAAGGGCAGTGAGTTTTAAAAGGCCAAGCAGAGACGTCCTAGGGATGTGGCCTGATACGGTAGCTGCTGCTTCCTGTGCTGCCCCAGCCTGGTCTCCCTTGTCTGTTAGAGGCTGCCAAGGGCACCATGGTGCAAAGGGTGGTGGAGCCAGGAAGACCCGAGTTCAAATCCTGCCTCAGACACTTACTAGTTATGTGACCCTGGGCAGGTCACTTAACCTCTATCTGCCTCAGTTTCCTTAACTGTGGAAGAGGGATAATAACAGCACCAACCTCCCAGGATTGTGGTGAGGGTCAAATGTGATAACATTCATGAAGCCGGTAAGCTTCTGAGGGAGCACCTGAAGCCAGGTCTTTGGACCCCACCCCCAGTCCAGCACTCTATCCACCATGCCACGCTGCTTATCAATGAATTATTCTCCTCTGATGCAACAGGCCTTTAACAACTCCTGCTGTGTGCCAGGGACTGGGCAAGGCCTATGAATACAAAAATTAGCAACCCTACATTTCTCAGCTCTTCTTGCCCCATGGAATGTCTTCTGTAAGTGGGAGCCAGGTTTTCTCAAGTGAAATTTAAAAAAAATTTCTGTCTTGCATGTGGTAGCTTGGAAAAATCCTCCGAAGCCCATTCATGAAGTTTGTGGCCCACGCTGCTTCCTTCATCATTTTCCTGTGCCTGCTGGTATTTAACGCCTCGGACAGGTTCGAGGGCATCACAACGCTCCCAAACATCACGGTCATCGACTACCCAAAGCAGATCTTCAGGGTGAAAACAACCCAGTTCACCTGGACTGAGATGTTAATCATGGTCTGGGTCCTCGGTAAGTGAGTGATTCTCCATTCATTCGAGTGTCTCTGCCTTAGGAAGTTATGAGGGGAGGACCAAGTATCTACTTCATTTGCTATGGATTTCTGTGGAAAATAATTGTCCCCACCTTTAGAAACTGGGTCCAACTCTGTAAGGGCAACGATGCCAGTGATTTGTGGAGAGGGGAGATCATTGGATCATAGATTTAGAGGCCACTACGGGTGATCCTCTATTTTGCAGATAGGGAAGCCAAGTCACCAAGAGGTTAGGATTCACCCAGCTAATGAGCATCTGTGGAGACACCAGTCCACTTTCCCCTCAGCTGCCGGGGTGATTTTCCTAACGTGTAGGTCTGACCATATTACCCCCTGCTCAGTGAACGTCATTGGCTCCTTGTTACCTCCAGGACTGAATACAAATTCTTTGTTCAGCTTGCAATGCCCTTCCTAACCTGACTCCTTCCTACTTTCCCAGCCTTCTAATACCTTATCCCCTTCCATATGTGCCGAGGTTCATTGGCAAACATCCCACTCCATCTCCCACAATACCACACTGCCTACCACTTATTCACCGCTATTCAATGTGACAAGCCTTTAAAAACTCCTACTGTGTGCCTCAGAGGACTGAGCTAGGACTATGAATACAAAGATAAGCAAGTAGACATTCCCCAGCTCCATGCCTTTGCACTGGCTGTGCCCTCTGCCTGAAATGCTCTTCCTCTTCACCTCCGTCTCTTAGTTACCCTGGCTCCCTTCAAGACTTAGCTCAAAGCCGCCTTCTGCAGGAGGCTATTCTCATTCCCTCCAGTTTCACTTAGTCTGCATAGACTTTCTATGTGACTAGTGATTTAGACGGAGTCTCCCTCATTAGGATGTGAGCTCCTTGAGGGCAGGGACTTGCCCTTCTTAGTAACCCAGTGCTTAGCAAAGGGCCCAGCACGCTGTAAATGCATAATAAAAGCTGATTGGCTAACTCCCAGGCCAGACAATTTTCCCCCTTTAAAGGTTAAGGTTTGCCTCACCAGCCAAAGGGAAAATGTCTGAGTCCAAAGTCAGCCACTTATTTCTGAAGCCTGAATCCTGTTCTGTAAAGGTCTGACTGTGTGTAGACGGACTAACTGTAATTGTCAGCTTCTGGGGGTTAAGCAGCCCCTTGACCCTAAGAGATTGTGAGCTCTTCACCTGGCGTGCTTTGTAGAAATGTTGTTTATTAGGAAGGTTTCCTCAGTGTCAGAGGCTTGGTAGGGCTTTTTGCTAGTTTGTGTTTTTCCCCAGAAACCCTCCTCTACTTGGACTCCTCCGGTTTGCTTGGAGAGATGATTTATGTTTAGGCAGAAGTCCAAGCAGTGTGGGAGAACCAGGTCTTTTGATGATTGAGGGGAAAAAGAGGAGGCAGCTGTTCCCCAAGAGTGATACTGCCACACCAGGATGGCAGTCATGAGCAGGAGACAGGTGCCAGTGGGGAAGAGCCCTGCTCCTCCCCAGCTCTCCAGCAGACGAGTTACTCAGACATACACAAACAAGCAACATTCTGCAGTCCTAGGTCCCAAGCTTTCAAGGCTCAAACGTATACAGTTTTAGGTAAAGAGCTGGCATGGCACTAATAGTTATTGGTGAGGCAAGGCAGCGAGGGTAGTCTGGAGCACTGGTACCTGAGTATTTTCAGAGTTGTTTAAAAGGAATGAGGAATGAGAGGCACCGAGTCAGGGAGCTTAACTCTAAGTGTGCCCCACACAGCAAACGGGTGACTTGGGAGGGGGCAGTGCCTGGTCTCTGGCTCACTTGCTCCATAGCTACAGGAATGCCATGTACCAGTCAAACCAGTTTACATGGGCTTGCAGTGATGAAAGAGGAATTCTATTATGCCTTTTCTTCTTAGCAAATGGAAATTGAAACAAGACAGTGGATCATTAGACACCAAGGAACTTTGACATCTCTCACCTGTGGAGGGGAGGAGTCGTGAGGTTGACAAAGATTAGCCTTAATAATAAACCAGACTTGCTTTTAAAGGGGTCATGGCAGAACTTTTGTGAGTCCTCAACTAAAAGCATTTTAAAAGCCAGCTGTTATCACAGGGGAAACCCAAGGGGTTCCCAAAGACTAAAAAATACAGCCAATGGAGCTGAGACCATCCAGTTCCATGCCCTCATTTTACAGATGAAGAAACTGAGGCACCAAGCAGTGAAGTAACTTCTCCAAGCTCACCCAGATGGTAAGTGGCAGAACTGGGGTTGGAACACACACCTTCTGCCTCCATATGTGATGTGCTGTCTACTGGACCATTTAGCCGCCTCTTCCGCCACACAGAAGGCAGAACGACTTCGATCCGGCTTAGCCAACACAGATGGTGCAGCTGAAGGCAGAATGGTTCATGTGAAGAGTCACAGATCACTCAGTGAACAGTTAGCGACATTCCACAGAGAGTAGACCCATGCTTGTTGATGGATTGATTGACTAGAGATAGAAATATGGCATTCAGCACCTTCATTAAACCCAATGCCCTCCATTCAGCAGACATTTATCAGGTGCCTACTGTGGGTCAGGCACTGTTCAAGATACAAGAGATTTGAAAACAGAAATTTAGCCGTGCCTACCCTCAGGGAGCTTAATCTCTCTTGGGTGGTTGGTAAGGTGAATAAAACACATACTCAAGAAAGTACACGCAAG